GGCGAAAAGAAAACCGAAGAGTGTTCTCTATCGAGCTACATACATTGATTCGAGACATACCGTAATGGTTTAAACAGATTCAAGAAGGTCATGATGAGCTACATACATACATTCNTATGTACATACTCTAATATGACGTAGTTTACAAACAGCAAAGATGAAGATCATAACCTTCTGAAAACTTAAAAATTCCTTTTTCAAACGCGTTTTATAGCGACATAATTGATTAAGTATTATCAGTGATAAGCGACTTTAAATCATCTATTATATATGCAGTACGCAATTAATTTACTTTTATTTCTCATTTCCAAATGACGCTTTCGCATTTTCATTTGACGCTTTTTCATTTATAATTGACTATTCTCAATTACAACTGACGCTTTCGCATTTTCATTTGACGATTTCTGATTTATAATTGACTAATCTCATTTTCAATTAACGCTTTCTCATTTAAAAATGACTATTCTCAATTACAATTGACGCTTTCGCATTTACAACTGGAAATGGTGTAGTGAAAACGTAACAATTAAAAAGAAATTTGAAAAACGATTTTTGGAAAGTGTTAGGAAAATTATAACTTTAAACAGAATAATTAAAGTGTTTAAAGAAAACGAGCAAAGAATTAGACGAGTAGACATGGCGGACGAGTTCGAAATGACCTTACCAATTTTTGATGGTCACGACTACAGTACCTGGAAGAAGAGAATTACTGTATTTCTGAGAATGAAAAAATGTGAAAATGTCATTCAGCGAGAGAAAGAACCAGAGGAAAATGAAGCCACGTGGAATGATACGGACTTAATGAATTATATATATAGTGCGTTATCAAATAGACAAATGGAATTTGTAGATGAAGAAACAACGAGTTATGGAATAATGAAGAAATTAGATAAATTATATTTGCGTGAATCAACCGCGTTACAGAGTTGTGTGAGGAACAAATTGGAAAGAATTAAATTGAAAGACTATACGGATATATGTGAATTCTACAGTGACTGTGAAAATTAATAATTGAATTGAAAAATGCTGGTGCTACAGTGACAGAAAAAGAAAAATTTAATTAATATGCACTCTACAAACACAACTATAACAGACTTAATGGAGGTATCTAGCATTAGGGTCCTGTTAGACACTAACTTTTTATATTTTTTAATTAAGTATCCGAAACCTATATTAGTATGTAAGAGAGTCATCTTGTTTCCCGTTCAACACAACGAAACTGTCCTACACTTTTGTAACAACAACAACGTCGCTGACTGTGACAATCAGATTTTGGCTATTGGCAGCTGTGTTACAGCACTTACGTCAACATTTTGCAAAAAGCTACAAAATACAACATGCACACAACAACTACATTCGGGAAGTGTAGCTCACTGCAGCACACGCCCCAGTCATCTGGAGCCGATTACGCTTGTTGATGAAAGTATCATAGTTATCAACGATAATACCGCTGTGATTAAATCAAATGATGGTTTGAGAAAACCGTTACTGGTACTTACCTCCTAACCTTTGAAGACGAGGTTCAAATCAATGGATCTTACTTTAAGAACAAAAATGGTATGCTGACAAAATTACCAGGTTCTGCGACAACAACACTTGTCAATATTACCAACCATCGAGAAATATTGAGTCTACCGTACCTAAAAAGAATGAATGTGCAAAATCTAGGGTACATTACAAGAATAGAGAGAAGAGCCATCATGTGGCCAATACTATCTGGCTTAGCTTTATCGCCATTCTGGTTGGCTGCTACTTCTTACTCAAACTTCGGCAGAGGCAAAGCAGAAGGCGTCAAAGTCATGTTATTCAAGCGATCATTGAAAACCTTAAGAAGACCGAGGACGGCCTCCATTTAGAAGGGGAGGAGTTAACACACGTGCAGCCCAAGGGCAGTCGTAACAGTTGCAGTAAGCAAATTTTTTTCTGCAGCTGGCAATCAATTTCAATAGCGGCCAGCCAACAGTAGCTAATTACGACGAATCTGTAATGCAACACCAACATGCAGCTGCACGGTGGTTTCATATTATTCCTATTGATATTGAACATCTGCAAATTCCACAACATCATCACAAGCCAGTCACAGCGCGGCGTTCCTGGAACTCTTCACAGCAGCGATACCAGCAGCGACTGCGACGGTGGCGGCTGTAGGTTAGATTTTAAGAACAAGTAGTTTGTAAGTTTTAGTTTAGTGATTGAACTCACCGGCAAAGCCAGTGCTTACGGTTAATAATGAAGTAATAAAGTTAAATTTTAAAACTCGAATAAACTAACTTATATACACATTGTAACATTTATGTATGTACTCAAATAACTTTTAAATAAATAAATCTACATATATGTATGTGTATACGTATGTATGTCCGTTTGCAGTTTATTAGAAATAATATAACTTTTACGAAAATGAAAGTTATATTATTTCAGTTTTTAAGGAAATGAAAAATTTGCCTACTTACTACTTTCTTGATTTATATAGATGTGATTGTATCTAAGTGAGCTTCTTTTTGCCTGGGGGCTTCTTGTGTCTGGTGTTGCTGCTAGATTTACCGCTTATATGTATATGCCGGTTGGCTGATGGTTTGTTTGGGTGATGCTGCTACTGCTGCTGACGCTTTGTTGTTGGATCTGGCTACTTGTGCTGGAAAACTGTGCTGCTTGGTTGGTTAGCTCGATTCGCTTTTTTTAATGTATTTGTATCTATATGATATACATATGTAGCACTCTACGTATGCGCGCACTTTTGTATTTTAAGCACTTATGTTTGCTTTAAAATTCAAAGCTTTATGTTTTTTTTTTTTTGTTAAACAAATTTTTGTTATCACAGTTTTTTTTTTGTCAAAAAATTTTTAGTTTTCTCTCTTTTTTTTGCGTGTATGCATATGTATATACGTGCACTTTTGTTTATATATTTTTTTTTCACTCTTGAAATTGGTTTATATTATCATTTGGCGGACGTACGAGTACGGATTTTAATTTTTTATTTTTAAGTTTTTGAAATCTTTTTTTCCCTTAGAAGCTGGGCCACGGTTGGCTGCGAAGGACCATGAATATTTCCAATGGTTTCACACTTTGTTTCCGCTCTAAGAAAAGACTTGGGTTTCGACTTTAAAATGTACAATTTCCACTCAATTTATTAACAAGCGTTTTTAAAGGTTACACAGTTTAGCGCAAATTATCGAGTGGGATTTAACACAAAAGAAAGGCTAAGTTTCGATCTACTATATGCACATACATAAGCTAGAGTTGGCTTCTTAGAAAAC